AGTATTAATTTAATTAATCAATGCAGGGTATGTATATTATAAACAAAAATGAAATGGGTTTTTTTTTTTTTAAATGTTTAGATAAATTATTAATTTATAAATAAAATGTAAATTTTAAGTATAAAATCACATGAATATTTAATACAATATAATATAATATATATATTTATTTTTACACTAAGATACTCAAATATTGTACCTCTCGTACAAAATTATAGAATGTCCCATTTAAAATCAAACAATTCCTTTAAATTAAGTATGATTAAATGTTTTATAACACTTAATATTAACGAATCTGATTTTTGTATAATGATTACTTGATCTATTTTAAAATTTAAAAATGTATATAAGAATTCTCATAATTTAATTTAAAAAATTTAACTTAATTTATAGATGTTATTGATTATTGAGAACAAAAGCAATTGACCAATTGACAAAAGTTGTAATGGCCTCCCCATTCATCCCTGGCCTCTTCAACAATCTAAGAGACTAAATCTTAATTTAGGCTAAAACATATTTTGGTTACAAAATTAATCTTCTCTTCTGATCATATTATGAAATTATCAAAACATTTTAATTAAATTAATTTAGAAAATTTAAATTTATTTATAAGTAATTTTTAATTTGTAAGATAATTTCATACTCTACATCTTCCTAATTTCTTCCTATAACTCCTACTAGCATTTAATTGATAACTATATTCGGATAAAATTCTAATAATAATAAATTTTAATTTACGGTATTTTAATTACGAGATTTGCTCGAAAAAAATTCTTTTTTACGAAAAAATTTTATAAAAAATATAAGAAAATAATAAATATATATTTTTTTTATCTTAACTCTATGATATAGTCGAAATAAAAAAGAATCGTACATAACTGTTTTAAATTTAAAATAATTTTATTCTAAATAATAACAAATTTTGAAAATTTTAGATGGGATAGAGACTGTAATCCTTTTTTCTTCTCGAGATATAATGATAGATCGAGAGGCTTGACAAGAAGGAATTGGTAGAAAAATTTTATGTTTTATATGATAGTCTTTATGATATTTGGATTGTATTTGTATGAGATTCAACTAATTGTCTTAGTCGTAGAATATCATTGAGAAATATAAACTTGCGTTATCCAAAAATTTTCTTGCGATTTTTTATAGTACTGGATGAGTCAATCATCCGCTTTGAATCTTATTAAACAAAAATGGCAATATTGTTCTTCAATTGATCAAGAATTTTAAATTTTGAGAAGTATTACACGATCATCTAATAATAAATGTTTAATTTTTTTAAATGAATGATTTGAAGATTTATTGATTCTACCAACTGTCCCGATGAACTTATTATCCTAAATTGGAATAAGTTGAAAGGATCCCTCTCTATTCTCCCCTCCGCCCTTCTCTATGTCATCACACGGGAGGGCATGGGGATGTAAAAGAAACGGGAGGGATGAAGTTTCTCTTGCTTTCGGCTTGGGATCACGGGCCATAGTAGGAGGTCCGCTCTATGGGCTATAAACGAAATTTTAATAAAATTAAAGTTAAAATCGTAAGTATTTATGGTAATTTTTTTAATATTTGAAAAAAAAAATAACATCCAATATTCAAAATAGATGATTTTTTTAATTAAAATCAAGCAATTACACAATTGTAAAAGTAATTTCTATTTATAGGGTTAAAAAATTACTCTTTTAAAAGCTCTCAAAAGAACCCAAAAAAAAAAAAAAAGTGCCTCTAAGTTTCTCATAATCTTGTTTGGGAGAGCTCAAAAAGGGCTCCCATTAAGCCTGTTTATAAAGGCCCAAGAGGATCCTCTCCAATCTCAATTCCAGAATTAATCGAAGTAAAATCCATGAGAAGTTCAGTTCTTTAAGAAAAATGATTTTGAGTATGATCCACTCCTTATCACAGCTAGAATATGGAGTTCAATTATAGCATATAACTGATAACAACAAGACAAGAAAATTATGTTGTATAAGCTTCAAATTCTGTCAAGTGATCAAAAGAAGGAACCAGCAATAAATCAGAAAGCAAAAGACAGATACTTTGCTTCAATGGCAATAACCAGATGATGAAATATATTTTATTCATGTGATCAAACCATTTTCTCCTTTCCTTTCTTCCACCAGTTTCGTACCTTGCAGCTCTGATGATAATCATCCTGATGGATTCTTTTAACTCGTTTTGTCTCTGCCACCACCATCCCCAACATTGCTTAATGTACTGCTCAGTCTTTTCTTAGTCTGATTGATGAACTCCGTGAATCGATCTTCCACTTTCTTGCTTTTATCTTCCTTATTGATCAGTTGCCGAGGCTCAACTCTACTTGGTGTAGAAGAAAGCTTAGGCTTGGACCTTTTGTCCCGTCCGGCTGATGGTATCACCGGCTGTTCAGGTTCAGTCTTGAAATTCAACCTGGGGACTTGACCATTACTGGGTCTGGTTTTATCAGTTTGTGATCTGGGTTTTGTCATTGCAGCTGCTTGTGACAATCTGGGGACTTGACCGTGATTAGGAGTCGTGTAGTCAAAGTTTATGTGAATCACTTCAGCATCGTCCTTGTTTTCAGCTGGTTCAAGTTTAGCAGCCTTTGCTGGTTTCTGCTGGATATCAATGGTTCTCACAGCAGGGAAGTGATGGAGTCTGTGTTTGTGGCCGCTGACAGATTCTGTGGATCGGCATCAAAGCAGGAGAACTTAAAGTGATTGCTTTGAAGATCCTGTCAACACTCTCTGGGCAGCTCTGTGTCTTCTCATCGATATGAATAATTTCTTTCTACTGGCTAGACTAGAGAAGGTTGTTTGGGAAGATGGAAAAAGCTCACTTCAGCTTAAGAGGAAACTATGAGGTGACATAAATTTATACTAGTGGGGAGATTTAGAATACTATTTGATTGCTCCTCGTGCTTCTCATTTGGTAAACCCAAAAACCAATTGTGATTCAGAAAATTCCAGGTTGCAGATAATTTGGGTCTGGAAAGATTCTGGTTTGGGTTATGAAATGGATAAAACTTTTTCTCAATTTTCTTTCTTTTTCTTGGAAAATGTTGCGTTTATGGTGGTTCTCGGGGGGATCATATTCCACTTTTTAGGAAGCTGCTTTTTCTTTCTCAGAATCCAGAATCTGTCAGCATACAGCTTAGAACGCACGAGCAGGACTTCTACGAGATTTCACACTCCTTTAGCTGTCGTACATGACATGAGATTTCATAAAGAGATTTCAACAGTAAATTTCTGTGACTTCTCTTGGAGGAATTCTCAAGGTATCAGATTCAAGAAGGACCTGATGAATTAGGGCACAATGAGTGAAGCACGACGGAAGGCCCAATTCAAAGATAGACGAGCGAATAAGCCGAAAATAAGATTTTATGGCCGGCCCTAGATTTTTATTTGCCTTCCCGTTAATTCGATCACATTCTCTTTTAATTAAGAAAATTAATTTTATTTTTTTATTATTTATTTAGCTTAACTTATAAATAGAACATCAAATTTTTATTATAACGATTCAGAAATTATCTCAATAATATTAATAATATTTCTTTTCAAGAGAAATTTTTCTACCATTTTGTGGAGTAACGAATGAATCTATTTATTAAGGTACGACTTCATTGCGTTTTTTTCATTTTATTTATCTGATTTTTAGTGATCTTAATTTCTATCATTTTTGATAGCAGGTTAAGTAGGAAAGATTTTTATAAAATCAATTGTTTTAATGTCTTTAAATAAAATCGTGTGAGTTTCTGATCACGTTAGTTGATTTTGGATTCTGAATCACGTAATTTTCGACAGAATACGATAATACAATCTAAGTTAAACATAAGAATCCGAAGAGAAATAGAGTTTAGACTTTAATTCTCTGTATTAAATTCTAATATGAAATTACATAGTTTTAAGAAGAACGAATCATCTACGTATGAACTGTCATCTTGAAAACTTTCTCAAGATTCTCCTGCTAATTTTCAGCACCCATTTTTTAATTTCTCCAGTTGGTATGCACTCACTGTTCTATAAACCCACTGTATATGCTATTACATATTTATATATTAGCCTTTGGAAGAAAGAGGGGGAAGATCTAACCAGAGTTACTACTAACTACTCGACCAAGTGAATATACCTCAGGAGGTGCTCAGCCTGAATTCAAAGTTCCAGGAGAAACCCAGTTGTGAATTTTGGGAACCCACCATATATATATATATATATATACACACCCATTATAGTAATAAAAGTATTACAACAACTTTTTCCATCTGATTCCATGAATTTTCTTTTGCTTCCATTCCTTTCATATATCTTTCCGCAAAACCAATTGTAGTCCCTTAGCCGTTCTTTTCAAACCAGGGCATGATACCAGCATGTTTCACATGTAAATAATTCTGCTGATCCTATACATAATATATATATATATATATTGCTGATTTCACATATTGATTCTTTGTACACATACTCTTACAATATGTTTGGTTTACAAGTCCTATTCTTTTAGTTATTTAATAACAAAGATCATGAAATATAATTCATAACTTCATAGGTCTACAATATCTCCAAACTGAGTGCAAAGTTATAACCTGTAAAGATCTAAAATCATGAGGTATGTAGAGTTCATGGACTTCACAATCATTTTTTGATCCATAAGAAAAATCTCCAAGTGCACAGTTCAATATAATGTAATATTCTTGCAGAGCTCTGAAATCATGAGCTTCATATATAATTCATGGCTTTGTAGCTGATCTGCTTAAGTTTCACTGCTATGGATGTTTCTTAATTCTATTGAATAGATTTTGAGAAGTTGCAGTATTCATACTACAAAAGTCTTCACAAAAAGACACTTGACAGGATTAGATCATGGTCTTACTCATATATATATATATATATATGTATATATATTTCAATTATGACTAAAATATTTTAATTTCATCACGTAATTTCTTTAAGAAATATACAAATTTTGATAGAAATCTTCCCCCAAACGACCCTTGAATGTAAAGATCACATAAATTTATCAGAGAATTCAAGGATCAGCCATCTTGGAGATTGTATTCTCTTTAAATATTTACAAATCAGCCTCAAACTAATGGCTTTTAAGTAATTTACAAGAAAAATGTATTCCTCTAGCTGGGAGAAAGAATGTCCTCTCCTTCCAAGCGTTTTTTCCATCCAGTAGAGCCGAAGTAAGTCTAAGAAGCATATTTTCAATGGCGGAAGGTCCTGAGCACCTGCTCAATCCGTCTCCGGCAAAGCGGGCAGTTTGTCAAGTGGGAAGAGCAAGTCATACAACAACACATATGACCACACCTGCATGCATAGAAGAACACACCATCTGTTCCTTAAAAAACCCGTTCAGATAGTATTACAGTCATATTCTACACAATATTTGCAGCCATCTGATTCTTACTACTGAGGCAGATTTATGCAATATTTACAAGATTAAAGCTAAGGGAGAAGGGAAAAACCAAAATGAAGTTTTAGAGCACCCAAAGTCTTTAAATCTGTATTTTGTTTTAGACATGGAGCTGATGGCAGTTTAGTATCATGGTATATGCGTCACCAGACAATTTTTACAAGGTTGAACCAGAGAAATGAGTAAATGCAATTAGAAAATGTAGCTCCTAGATGGTATATTGCTTCCATTTCGCCAAATTGTCTGGAGACTGCCAGGCATGGTGGTTCAATGGCATTGCTCCACTTTGGAGATTTAGATCTTGTGTTTGATGAAGAATGGATATGAACTAGAATTTTTAAATGCTAGCTAATATGCAATTTAATGTAATAGTATGGACAAAACTAGGTCTTAGTAACTTTTAGAAATTTATTTACAGTTTTAAATTCTGTTAATTTTTAAGTTCTCTATTAGGATTCTCAATTATAGTTTGATTAAATTTTAAATTTCGGAATTATATATACCTATTTAACCAAGCCATTAGTTAACAAATCATTATTTTCACAAAATTGATTGTGAGGCAATGTCTTTATTGTGATGCCTAAGAACCCACCTAGGCATGATGTCCGAGGGAGATTCTAGGTGAGACTCCTAGTTGGTTTTCTTTTTAATCCTGATTCTCACAAGTGATGTTTGAGAAACCTAAACCTATCCTAAAATTCCTACAGTAGGTAAATTGGTCCTAATTTATCCTACATCAATAGTATTAGCAGTAAATATACTACATGCATAATCTCCAAATCTTACATATAAATGGATCCCACCCATATTAGGCTACCCAAATCACCGCTTAACACCATGTCAGTGTTCGATAGAGCCTCAACCAACAGCACCAGAGACTTTCGACTGGCCTACACCTGGAGCTCGCTGGGTATATTACTATTTCCTTTTAATTGCTTATTTTACTTGACATTTACATGCATTCCCTTTTATTTCCATGTATTTTCCTAATTGCATGTATTTCCAGCTCTGTTTTCTTCTTTTTTTTTTTGGGCACCTAGATCACCAATTCTGGGAATTCAAGGCTGATTGAGTCTACTCCTATCTTCTCCTCCAGACTTCTCCTCTGACATCTTCTTCACCTTCCTTTTTTAAGTTCAAGCTTCTTCAAAAGTTTGTATCAGTTAGCACCAAAACAACTCCTAGAGTATTAGAATTTTTCTCAGCATAAGGCTTTACCTTATGTTAAATTTGGAAGTTGGTTTAGGTTAATTATTTTCTAAATTGAGTTTGTTTAGGTTACTCTTATTCCTAATTTAGGAGCAATGCTCCCTGTAAAAAGTCTATTCTGCTAACAAATAAAAGCATCATAACTGTTCTTAATTCTAAAGAATTTCTCTCGAATTTTCTATGAGTGTACTGCTTCCTTGGAGGAGATAAGGGATAGGATTATTCTCATGGCAACTTTGTGACGTATTGACATTTTCCTCATAGTTGTATTACAGCGCTCCACCAGGATTGGAATCTACTATCCATAGCTCCCATGATGTGACTGTTTATATTTTTTAATCTTGTTTTTCAAACTTTTTTTTGGAGTATACCTTACCCTCCACCTTTGTATTTGCTTCGTTCTCTCTTTTAATAATAGTTCTTCTATTATCCCAATAAAAAAAAAAATTCTATAGAATTCTCTTGGATACCGTAGGGTTCTCTGTGATGAGCCCAATCATAGGCTATGGAGATAGCAAAATTAATAAGCAAGCTTCAGACTTGCTAGACAACTTCTCCTTAAGTAGGATACAGAATCAGATTCCAAGCTAGGGAACCTAGCAAAATGACATAAAACATTAAAAGTTTCCACTTACGGGACAAAAGCAGCATTGTACTCTTGCTCAAGGCATATCACGCATAGATCTGGCATCAGATGCTCTCTCTTAGCACCATCCAACCCATTTTCAGGTATTATATTTGAACCTGAGGGGGGAAAAATAATGTTTAAAAATCTAGCATGGAATGCATAAAATTTCATGATCAAATGTAGACACTAGAAATACCTTCATTATCTTGCCCTGATCTTTTCGCTGCTGCGGCAAGAACCCTGCATGGGCAAGGTCCAAGATTTAGTGTTTGTCTCTCATCATTACAAAAATCAGAAAAAGAAAAAGGATGGCATTGCAATGCCTATGGTGACTTTTATGGAAAAGAAAATCACAATGCACAGTGTTCATTTCAAGCTTCCTCCAAGTATTCTTATTTTTTTATTTTTTGAATAATTCCTCCAAGTATTCTTGTAGACTAAAATGAACAGAAATATTTGCAAAAGAGTGGTTTCTTTGTAAACTAATGTGGAATAAACTCTGCCTTAACTAATAAGGAATTTCATAGGATTGCAAACTTCACAAACTTCATAAAATCATGCAACTAAAAGCCACAAGAAACAGTAAAATACAACAAAAAATTTCACATAAACCCTCTACTTCCACCTAATACGTCCTAACAAGATGAGATCATAGCCAGCAAACTTTCCCTGCCTATTAATTTGTGGATACATGTGCTTATCCAGGCATCAGGCATCAGGCATAGTGAAATCAGTTAACCACACAGAGCATATTAGACTTAACATATGATTATCAAAGTCCCAGAATCCACATTTCCAGACCTAGATGCTTGTTCCATCAGTGCGTGCAATAACCAGAAGGATATACATTAAAGACTGCAAACATGTCCTTCATTTAAGAAAGTTTCTTTTTTTTACAAAAAAAAGTCTTCCTATCTTGTCAAGCAAAAATAATGATGCTGACATAGTGTAGCAATTTTATATTGGTTTTCAGCAAAAAGCATGGCCCAAGGAGACCATCTTACTGCAATCATATGTCTATTGTCAAGCCTGAACTTAAGGAGGAGGTGATTGACAATATATATACATATATATATAATATCAGTCATTTGCACCTGCATTTTAGTTTGTTATGACAATGGTAGATAAGATTGAACATACCTTTTCTGCAACTCTCGTCGCCGCCTTCTCTCCAAAACATACTCAATAGAACGCTTTGCAATTAGAAAAACACCAAGGAATGTTAGCCCCATCGAAGCATACTTGTACCACCTGATAAACAGACTTATTATTTTCTTTTCAGTAGATCAATTTATATCATCAAGCAGGTCTTGTGGTGAATGTACCTTGCCCATTTCCCTAATTGGAAATCAGGTGATCCATTGATTTGGAGACACGTAAAAAGGCCGTTTGTGCGGTCTTCGTATCTGAATTGTTCCAATGTCATCTTTAACAGGCTGATATTTATTAAGGAAATAGAAATATCAGCAAATGCATTAGCATAGTAACATACAAGCATAAAGCAGCCCCCTTATACATCTATGAACCTTGAAGAGAGATGTTTATTAGAAAATAAAGATACAGGATCATGACATTTAAAGCAATATTAGATGAAACAAATAGAAAGATTTCCCAACAGTCAAGGTGAGTTTTGCTGCTATAATGCTATAAAGAAACCTTACCAGATGTCCATGTTAAACCATCAGAGAGCAATTCATTGCACATTATATGCTACACTACAAATAGCACTAATCAAGATTCAGTCAATGTAAATACATAAATTCCAATAGCAACATGAAACCTACCTCACCAACAACTGTCAAGGAAGTACCAGTTGGAAGTACACGTTCAATACGTTTGACTCCAAGCATCTAATGACACAATCACCCATCAATAAGCATGAACAGGGAAGATTCTAAATCAAGTTGAAAAATAATGAGAAACTGTAGAACATGAGAAACCTTGAGGCCTTGGAGATAGTCCAACGTTCCTCGTACGAGAGACCGCCCTGATTCTTCAAATACTTCACTCCCCACAGTAAGAACAAAACCAGTAGCACCTCGTGCTCCTACTACAAATACACGAGCAGTCCCATCATCCTGGTAGAAATGATTCAGGAAAATACAACTATCACGTGAAGCTCTACTTTGACTGAAAGAATTATATACAACATGCATAACTCTCTGAGCTTCATATCTTACTAAAGTAAACCAACCCAACAAACAAGAAATCTTGAAACAATCATTTCAACTCACTAATCAGGCAATAAAGAAAAACGTACTTACCAGGTACCAAGGAACCTCTTTACTCATTGACAGCATTAGGGCACTATCTTGTATCCAAGAACCAGCATCATTGTGTTTGAGAAAATGTTGTTCAGCCTGAAGAAGATATTAACAAGAAGACTTACATATCAAGACACATAAGAGATATAAAGAGCCAACTTACACAACTCCTAGAAATAGTTCAATTATACCGTTTCCTCCACTATAACTCCCCTTAAGCCGCTGTACTCGCAACTAATTGGTGTCTCAGAGCCAACTCTTCCAGATATGGCAACAATCAATGGCATTATTTTGCTTTCAATGTCAAGCAACTGCGCTGAAAGGAGAATGAAGGCAAAAATCAGAAAAACGTATTTTTTTTTTTTCAAATACAGAATAACTTAATTGTCTGGACCTATGAGCCATATCTTTTCTGTGCAAAAGCATCAACATGCATAGTACGTTCCGTACAATTAAATGCATGTAGCCAGAGGTGATAATCTTTTACTTGGAAATATCTAAATATAATGTTCCAAGATGGAGCACTAGCCTCACAATTCTGAAGAAGTCGTTTTGAAGGCAGGTGCCATTTACCCTATGGGAGAACCAATATTACTTAACTTGGGAGTTCAAACAGCAATTCTATTACCAGAATTTCATAATGTTTATAGTAATATTCATTGCACATAACATGCTCATTCATACCGCATGGTAATAATCAAGGAAACTACAACAATTATACACTCTACACCTTCTATGCCATGGCAACATAACCAAAACCTGTTAGCCATGAATAGGACAGTATTTTCAGCAAAAAATACTGACCATGACATGCAGATGGAATTTGTTGCGATTAAATGAAAAGAAAGGAAAGAGTGGATATAGCAGTTATAGCATTTCAAGAATAGATATAGCACTTGATGTCAAGCTCATAGCTTGTCAGTTAAAATATAAAGAAAACAATTCATATTTGCATAAGCTTCTGACATAACACATACAGCAACTATTTATTTAAGTTATTGGTAACTTATCTAAGAACGAGACTAAAAGCAAAAATGCTTTAGGTCAAACTGTTCCAACTTTAAAATATCATCAAATTTGATCGATCATTTCATATCAACACATTAAAAATGACAAAAATTAAGTTAGAATAAGATCAATCAAAGGCCTCAAGAAGAACATCAAATTGAGATGTAGGACTACGAAAACCGAAATGCTACTCTAGTAACCAGAAGGCATCAAGACTCAAGATTGTACCCAATTCCTTCAACTGATTAACTCGCGTAACTTTTCTAAGAATATCCGCATCCCTGTACCATCAAAGAACAGTCATTTAACCTTTCTCCCGTTCTCACAAATTGAGCTCGAGTAACACATAAGAACGCACGACTTTATACATGTGTCTATCTGTACATGCATCTGTACACATGTATAGAGGTGCAAATAAATAACCCTAACCTGCCGCTGCTCCTGCCAAGCAGATAAAGGGCAGCCGCGCTCATGCAGCAAGTGATTCCTCCCCATGGAATCATCTTCAACCACAGGAATTAACTCTAGCGTCGATCACCTCCACTAAAAAAGCTCCATTCGTAATTCAGAACCAGCACAGGGAAGTAAAATCAAGTCTCATCGAACAAAAATGAAGAAGAGAAAGAAATAATCACGCCAAAAGAAATTCGAAAGGAGCAATGCTTGTTTGTTTCTCGAGGAAGTAGTAACTGATAAGCAAAGAAATTGAAGGAAGAAAAAAGACAAACAGAAAGAATCAGATGCCAGGAGTGAAGAAACAGAAGATGGCAATGGGGATCTACCCGCACATGAACTGCTTGTAAAGAGCTTATCCTAGGGACAAACTTGAACGGCAGGGAAGAAAGTGGAGGCACACTTCCATCACCCGCGGGTGACAAAATCTAGTTGTACAAATTCTGCATGACGTCTTGCTGCTATTTTTTATTTATTATGTATTAGTTAAAATAGATTTTTTTTAAAAATTTCCTTAAGCGTAATGATTCAAAATTTATTTTAAAAATTAATTTGTATTTATTTTTTATATAACAATTAAAATATTATTTTCTAAAACTAATATTTCTGAATAAATTTTCTAAAAATAATAAGTTTTAATTATAATTATACCCAAATATAAAAAAAAAAATTTCCATTATAGTTTTAAGTCTTTTAGGCCCAATTTTAATTAGAGATTTTACGCCCAATTTTAATTAAGCTTTTAGGCCCAATTTTAATTAAGGTTTTAGGCCCAATTTTAATTAAGCTTGACGCCCAATTTTAATTAGGCTTTTAGGCCCGATTTCAATTAGGGCCTCAGGCCCAATTTTAATGAGGCTTTCGGCCCAATGTTAACTAGTTTTGAGGCCCACTTTCAATTAGGGTTTAGGCCCAATTTTAATAAAGCTTTAGGCCCAATTTAATTAGGCTTTGGGCCCAATTTTAATTAGGGTTTTAGGCCCATTTTAATTAGGGCTTTGAGGCGCAATTTCAATTAAGCCTTTAGGCCCAATTTTAATTAGAGTTTTTAGGCCCAATTTTAATTAGACCTTTTAGGCCTAATTGCAATTAGGGTTTTAGGCTCATTTTAATTTGGGCTTCTAGGCCCAATTCTAATCAGGCTTATAGGCCCATTTTAATTAGGCTTTTGGCCCAATTTTAATTAGACTTTAGGCCCGATTTCAATTAGGGCATTTAGGCCCGATTTCAATTAGGGCTTTTAGGCCTTGTTTTAATCAGGCTTTAGGCCCAATTTTAATTAGGCTCTAGGCCTGATTTAATTCGGTTCTAGGCCCAATTTTAATTAGACCTTTAGGCCCAAGTTTAAGGCTTTTAGGCCCGATTTCATTTAAGGCTTTTAGGCACAATTTCAATTAGAGCTTTTAGGCCCAAATTTAATTAGGCTTTTAGGCCCAATTTCAATTAGGGCTTTTGGCCCGATTTCAATTAGGGCTTTTAGACCCAATTTTAATTAGGGCCTTAAGGCCCGATTTGAATTAGGCTTTAGGCCCGATTTTAATTAGGGCTTTGAGGCCCAATTTCAATTAGGGCTTTTAGGCTCAATTTCAATTCGACAATTAGGGCTAATTTTAATTTGGGCCTTCAGGCCCGATTTAATTAGGCTTGTAGGCCCGATTTTAATTAGCGCTCCTAGGCCCAATTTAAGTTAGGGTTTTAGGCCCAATTGTGGGACTACCGGATATATAAATGGGTCGGGGCAAAACCAAGACGAATCGGGTTCTCCCAGTCCAAACAAAGCCACGTCTACTTTCTACTTCCTAAAACCCTCGAGGGAGGAAACCAGGAGTAACCCCTAAAACCCCCCCTAACGAATTCCACTTGCGCCTCGTTCAGTATTCACTTTCTACAGGTCGCGGTTGCCACTCTCCCTTGGAGAATCAATGGCTTCTGTAGCTCTGAGAAACCCTAATTCTAAGCGACTGCTGCCATATTCTTCCCAACTTCACTGGTGCTGCAGGGGTTCAGTCTCGAGTCATTTTTCAATCGTTGAATCTATCTCGGGCAATGACCGGACGTCTGCTTCCTCCACTTCTTGGTGGAGATCCATGGCCACTTTCACTCGAACGTAAGCCCCAATGGCTCATTTATTCAATTAGATCTCTCCCTTTATTGAAGATTGGTCGCGCAAACTCACCGATAAATACATCTATATATATACATACATATATATACATATGCAGCTGTTCTTTTTTACTTACGTGTTGATGGTATGTCGGGCTATTTCTATTGGGTTGTTCTCTATATTGATTGTCGGTTTTTGAGCTTTTGGCTATATTCCGGCTAGAAAAGGTAATTTTAAGTTTTAACTTTATAGAGTAGAAAGCAGTCTCACCTCAGGAGGAAGAGACTGGTTTTTGAGTGAATTGAATCCAAAAGAAATCTCTCCCAATCTTCTTTTATATTTGTTCTTTTGGGATGGGAATTGGAATGACCATTATGTAGTTGAAATGGACTTTATATGATCAAGCAAGTTCTTTTGGTGGATAATGCAACTTTCTGAAGTGAAACATGGCAAGTTATGTATCGAAATGTCAATAAAAGAATTTATTTTAATTAGAAAAGAAGTTGGGATTTCTGCTTTTGTAGTTTGAATTTTCATGTTGTGTTTCTTGCAGAAAACCCCATGTTAATGTTGGAACAATTGGACATGTTGATCATGGGAAGACAACACTGACTGCAGCAATTACGAAGGTGGGATTTTGTATGAACTTTACACTCTGGACTGTGTTTTTCCTCTTCAGTTATATCACAATAATAAACTGCATAATGGATCTTTGATGTTTTATTAATGCTCGAATGCTTATTATGCAGGTGCTAGCAGAAGAGGGTAAAGCTAAGGCCATTGCTTTCGATGAGATCGACAAGGCTCCTGAAGAGAAGAAGAGAGGAATTACTATTGCAACGGTTTGTTATAGTTTCTTGTTTTCAATGTCATTAATCATGTATATTCTTCATTTTCTCCTTATAAATCACTAGGTTTGGCTTGATCTTGCAGGCTCATGTGGAGTATGAGACTGTTAAGCGTCATTACGCACATGTAGACTGCCCAGGACATGCAGATTATGTCAAAGTAAGCTCATGACTTTTGTAGAACTCCTTTTATGGAACTGTTGCAAGGGACAAAAAGGCTACAAACTGAAATGGTCCATAGCAGAGAGACTTCCGTTTTAATCTGCATTTGAAACTATATATAAGTTTTCTTCTAGTAGTAACTTATATATTGCTATGAGTATATATTTTCAATTCCGGAACGTATGTTTAGCATGGTTTATTATGAAAGTGTTTACTAAAGTATGAAATAATAAGTTCTCAGAGTTGATGACTAACATGTTGGTCAACCAAGTGAATACTCATTTGAATTGTTTGATGAATTTGTGGGGTTCTTCTTTGGCATGTGAGTAACTCCATTAGTGGTTGACTTGTAGAACATGATTACTGGAGCTGCACAAATGGATGGTGGTATCTTGGTCGTGTCTGCTCCCGATGGACCTATGCCACAGACTAAGGAGCATATTTTGCTTGCACGCCAGGTGTGTGTTCATTTATTATATTGTGTAACATGCATGGCTTGAGTTGTACTCTAGCTTTTAATGGGGCCTTCAAATTTTTCATTAAGGATCTTTTGAATGCATCGAACAGGTTGGTGTGCCATCACTTGTGTGCTTTCTTAATAAAGTGGATGCTGTGGATGATCCAGAGTTGTTGGAGCTTGTAGAAATGGAGCTCCGGGGTATGTTGGCTTTTGTGGCCATTATGTTGATGGAATGTAGTTTGCATGTTGCTTAAATCTACCAAAAGTTTTTCACACTACCTTATTTTTCTGGCAGA